CACACACACACACACACACACACACACACACACACACACACACACACACACACACTGTTACACTGAGGCTCCATGCATGGCTTTATGCTTTGGTATGCTTCCCCTTCATGGCTAAGCACCTTCCCCTTCATGGCTAAGTACCAGCCTGCACTCTTCCGGCTGCTTGTACTGCAAATTTCTCTTCTTCATTGAACCCTTTCCTGCCTTTCTTTTATCTTTCTTGTTTTATGTGCAATTCATTACCTAGGCCATTTCTACACATAGAATAAAATCAATCATCATCAAACACAATTGATCTAATATATCCCTTAGTACAGTGTTGGAGAACTCAACATCATCAGTACTGTGTGGCAGTGTGGCTCATTAAACTTGGCTGTCATCCCTTGGGTGTCATCCACCTGGTCTTTGGACACAGCATTTCCAAGAGACTTACCAAGGAGGATAGCTGGATGGCAGCAAGCATGAGATCCTGCCTGACTCTGCCTCCCCAATGCTGAGATTACAGATGTTCACCTTGATACCAAAATGTTTTACATGGGTTCTGAGAATCAGACTCAGTTCCTTGTGCCTACATGGCAATCACTTTACCAACTGAGCCATATCTCTATCTCAGACAGGTATATGCTAATGTCCTTAAAGTCATAAGGTTCCTCAGCTATTTATCTGGACTACTAAAATTCATATTAGTTTCTTTTTTCAGGTTTGTTTTATATATATGGATGTTTTGTCTGCATAAGTGTATGTGGACTTTTGGAGATCAGAGGAGGACATTGGAAACTCCTAAGATTAGAGTTACAGATGGTTTTGAGCTGGCTTGTGGGGCTGTGAATTGAACCTGGATCTTCTGCAAGAGCAGCAAGTACTCCTAACTGCTATGCCATCTTTTCAGCTCCAAGAATACTAAAATTTAAATATTCTTTTGTAAGTCAGCAAGATCTACACTTTGACTAATTTTGGACATTACCAACTTCACATTTATTAGAATATCAATAACGAGAGACACATTCATCTGTCATAAGGAAACATTTTGGGATTTTAGAAAAGAACAAACTCACCAAAGATGTAGAATATATAAGGCCATCCTAGGGCCTGACAAAGAAGACCACCAGCAATAAGGACAAGGAAGGTCCCAAGCATTGACCCTGAACAAAAGATACAAGGAAACTATGGGTAAGAGAGCTAGTCTTGGGAATCAATATGCTCCCTACAGAGTTGAGTGACAGTGACTGAGAGTATGAGCTTGGATACAGACTATCAAAATACAGACACTGCTCTCTCACTCAAGGACTGTATGATGTCTCAGATTTTGTACACTATGTACTTACTCCTTAGATGATTTATAAGGTTCCTGTGAGGGCAAAAGAAATGAATGTATGCAAAAATCAAATATTTATTGGTGCATTATTAACATGTTGTTCTAATCACAAAAGATCTTCTAGTTCTTAAAAGCATAGATTATGAAGTGAGGAGTAACTAGGATACAGGCTTTCATTCTCACAATAGGCCATTTCTGAGTATTCTCTTGGACAATACATATGAATGTATATCCCAGTTACCTGATCCAGCGATGGTGGTGAGTTGACTCCTTTCCAGTGGGGGAGCCCATTTGGCCCACATTGAGTACTGACCTGTTAATACCATAACCTGGGGGAAATTTTCCATTCTTAGAGATATCAGATCATTCTAAAACATTGGTTTATGCCAGTTATACTTGGTAAAGATCTTGATACCTGAGCTATGCCTTGGATGACCCGAAGGACAATGAGCAAGACTACTCCAGCATCAGCTGCCAGTGGAATGAAGAGAGTCAGGACTGAAGAAATTAACAACCCTAAACCAACCACATACTTGGCTCCAAATACTCCAGCCACATAGCCAGTGGGAATTGGAGCTAAGAATGATCCATAGTTGAGAGAGCTGAGGAGGATTCCCTGGATCTCAGGTGTCCAGTCGTAAACAGGGGCCTAGAGGACAAAGGGGTCCTGATTATTTGGATACACAGGTGACATGTTTCATTTTCATTTTGTTTTTAAGACAGGTTCTCATCAGCTCAGGCTGACCTTGATCTCTTAGTCCTTCTGCCTCCACCTCCAGAGTCCTGAGATTATAGCTGTGCCTCACACCTGGCCCAACTGTTGACTATTCAAAGTGAGACACAAAATTCACTTGGAACACAAAAAGCAATTTGAAGTTCATTTTAACCTCTCTTCAATTTGTCCAATCCACCAGTTTCATAAGAAAAAAAGACACCTAAGTATATGAACATCATATTCTTTCTTATCACCCTGACTCAAGTAGCTGACCAATTAAAATAAGGGAACCCATGATGGGTGTGGTGATATATGCATATACAGTCATAAAATCCCTGTCTCAGAAGGGAAAAACATATGTGTGTGTTTGTGTATGTGTGTATACACACATGCACATCCATACACATATACATCATATTCATATACATATAGGGTCTATATGAACTATACCTTATATATTATAATAGATACATATATAGTGTGCATATTATAGATAGATACAAATGGAAGCAAAAGCTAATAAAGAAAGAAACATAGCTGAGATATTGAGCAGTATGTGGAAGGGAAAGAAGACAATCTGAAAAGCTGATTTTGTGGTTCTATAAGGTTTTGCATCCTGATAGAAGAATTTAATTTTACTGATTGATTAACCATGCTTCATTCTAACTTAGCCATGGTTTCACTCACAGACACCAAGCAGAGAGAGATGAAAGTTCCCTCAGATATGTATTTATGTTCTCATGCTAAAGGAATTTTGTTTGCTCATAAGATGGCCTTCAAATCAAAGAAATTGTTCAGAATCTCACAAAACAGACCACTACCTTAGATTCCTGTAGTGTTTCGTTCCAGAAATCTTGGGAGTTGGTGGTAGGTCTTTCTGTGGAAGCATTGAGCTGGCTGGATGCTACTGTGGTGTTCACCATAGCTGTTATGGCAATGCTCAAGTTCATTTGTTGGGTATAAATGGAGAAATTACAGAGATGCAAGATGAAGGCCAGACCATGCCGAAGTGAGCAGAAGCCTGAAAGGAGAAGGAATAAAACTTATATGGTCAGCCTTCTTTCTTCCTGACCTTCTAAGTCTGGAGGAGGCAGAAGACTGGTGTCTCTTGAATCTCAGGATTATAGGGAGACCAGACACTGTTCTATGGGAGGCTTCATTCTCTCAAGAGGGAGTACTACTTCCCTTGGAAGCAAAGCCTTGAAGAGTGCATGGAGAGCCAGCCTCAGAGGGATTCTGGGGGCTCTGGGATGAGCCATCAAGGGCAGGAACAGGTTTAGAACAAGAACTGTCAGGAAGCTGAGACTGCTTGCGCGCACATTCATGCATGCATGCTTGAGTGCTCAGGAGGGTTTGAAATGACTCAGTGTCACTTATTACTAGCAGTAGGATATTTAACTTGGTCGTAGTTTGAGTGGCAGGCTAGTGTTAGGTTAAAGATGTGTGTCATCTTCATTTTAACACTGTAATCTAGGGTTTCGTAAAGCTTGCTTGTGTTCCAATCACTTTAGTGTGACCACAACTAATAGACAGAGAAATCCTGAGGTAAAATATGGTCACCATGTTCAAACTCTGAGTTGAGAGCTTCCTGGTTTCAGCCAGAGAGCAGGTGAGACTGGAATATTTAGGACTCTTGTGTGTGGAGATTCACCTGTTAAATTAAAAAATTAACAGATATCACCTTTGGTCTAAGTCTAGGATTTTGAAAAGTCTCCTTCCTCCATCTGAAAAAAAATTATGGTAGCATCTTGGTCATTGTCCTTTTTACATCATATTTCATTAAACAGGATGACCAGGCTGTCTTCTCTATGTTTCACACATAGATCAAGTCTTTCCTCTGCCCCAACCTGAAACTGAGCTCATTAGTTAAGTCCCATCTAAGTTTTATCAAGTAGTTTATATAGCTTATGTAACTAAATTAATTTTATTATCACTGTGTTTATTTGTTTGTCATTTGTTTGTTGAGACAGGGTTTCATTACACAGCCTAGGCTATCCTCAAACTCAAGATCCTACAACTTCAGCCTTCCAAGTGTTGGGGCTACAGGTGTGACCATATTCAGTGCCTGTTACTTTCATGCTTCTTCTTCCCCTGGGGCTTTGATTAGATAGAGGATAGATAGACAGACATACGGTCCATACACATTTATGTACAGATCATGAGGAAAGACAATTCATTTTATTGTTTACAGTACTTATATCATCCTCTCATTTTGTCCAGCATCTCAGTCAAAGGGGCACCTCTGCTAGATCAAAATTCACTGGAAATAATCTTTTATACCATTTCCTGTGCACATGACATGCATGTCAACTACACCACACTATCCTACACCTATGTTAGTGCTCATGGGTGTTGAAATCTTGGCATCGGTCACCTACATCTCCATCCTAGATGCTCTACTCACAGCAAGTCTCCACAGTGTCCATGGCTTCTGCACTTCACAAGGGTTGTACAAAAGCCTGCCTGCAGGTGCTCTGAGGAGAGCTGAAGGGTTGCTGTGATGCCTTATGATGGTGCTTGCTAACACTTGACTCCCTTGCATTCTTGGAACAGTCTCCTCTTAGTCACAGGCTGTTTCTAATGACAAAACACTTTAGGTAGAATTTTATTTAGCATGTGTAATTAAGGTGAATTTGTAGTCTATGTACATGTCTATTATTCTTTCCTTCCTAGCTTTGTGGGGAAAAAGTTCTAAGTTTTCCATCTTAACAGTGACTTGAAACAATTTAGAGAATAATAGACTTCAGCCCTAGGGAAAAAGCTGAAGGCCAGGCTCAGTTTCCTATCTAGAATCTGCTGTGAGGCTGTTTGGGTTTGTTAGTCATTTGGTTTTTCTGGATGAATTGTTTTATTTTTTGTTTATTTATCTTCTTGGAGTTGTTCTGGGTTTTTGTTGTTGTTGTTGTTGCTGCTGCTGCTGTTTTCACTTCCCAATAATGGCCACATGATTCTTACTTGTTCTATGTGCCTTCAAGATTTCCTCTGAGGAGTGAAACAATTAAAAGTAAAACTGCTTCATCACTACCTGGCACTGCTGGCTATCGGCAGCCGTGAGAAAAATGCTATGTATCAAGGGAAAGGAAGCTGAGGTGATGTGTCTCCTGTTTTTTTCATAACCAGAGTTGCATGTGTGATTTTACCTTTCTTGGAGGATTGTTCTTGGGTCATGTTGTCATTGGGAATGCCTCCCTCTCTCGCCTTGAGGTCTGCTCCAGTAGACATCTTGATTTTCTTCTTCTAAGGTCCAGCATCTACTTACAAAGTAAAAGCATGTAAGAGCAATCATAAACATGAAAGCATCCTGTATTTTATTTGATGTAGTTCCCATTTTTGGCTTTATTAGTAACAAAATATGAGGCGCTGGGAAAGATATAGTTATCCCAAATCTTAATAGCTGTATCTTTGAAATGAGGAAATCTAGCCTGGAATGCCTAAATCAGTTATGTGCTTCTTTCTGTACCTCTGTGCTTCCTGCTTTGGACTGGTACTTGTAACAGCTGGACATGAAAATTTAACCACTCACTTGAAATTTTATCTGAAAGATTTCAACAGGCTGAATTTTTTGGAGTGGTGGAAACTGTCCCTTAAAAACATGTAGACTAGGAAAACTGTTGCAGAAAATTGTCCATTTTGGCAATTGCTCCAAAGCTAGAGAGAGCTACATCCATGGATGCAATGAAAAATCAGAGTCATACACTAACTCTTCTGTGATGTAAGAGTGGGGCCTAGAGGCAGAGTCTGTCTCAGTGGTGTAAGGGTGGGGCCCAGTGACTATGAAGGATGAAGGCTGGTCCATGCCAGGGATGAGATTATGAGGAAGATCCTAACACACAGCCAGAAGCCCCAAAGGCCCCAAACTTGAATAATCTCTGCTGACTGCAATACATGTCCCTATCTACACTATTTCCAACCTCTAGTTTAAAAATAGAGACTCTGAAAGTTCCTGGAGAACTGGGGCTTTGAATTTATACTATCTTTAGATTGAGGATTGATAACTCTAGCTTCTCTAGTGAAAAATCAAGGATTGTAAGCTAGGTTCTTTAGATAGACACAGATCACAGCAAATTGCTACAGGTGAAACTCCACTTGATATGGGTTTGAGGTTCAAAATGATAAACATCCAGAGAAGCCCATCTAAGCCACATCCTCAGACTTAATGCATGAATGTAAAGTACCTCCAATATACTAGACTCATAAAGACATTATACAAACATGCTTAAAGTGATTGAAGATGACCTAGAGAGATGGTTTCATGGTCACATTCTTACAACAGGTCTGGTTTGGGTTTCAGAGTGTTGGAAGGCTCTATGCACACTACCAGAGGAGAAAAGTGATATCGACCTTACCCAGCTGTAAATTTTTCAAGCTGCAATAACTACTGGCCAAGCAAAACATGCTGCATTAATTAATTTTCTATTGTTCTGCTAACAAACATGACTAGAGGAACTTATTGAGAAAAACTGTTTATTTGAGTTTGCGATTCTAGATGATTAGAATCGACAATGGTGGAATAAAGGTGTGACAGCAGGGACAGGAAGCTGAGGGTTCAGATCTTGACCTGCAAGCATCAGGCTGAGAGTGCAAACCAGAAGTGGAATGTGGTCTTGAAACCTCAAAGCTTGCCCTCAGTAACATACTTTCTCCAGCAAGGCTACACCTCTAAACCTACCCTGTAGGGAGCAGAGGAAGCCCGCAATGAATGAAGTCCTGAATGAGTGTGGATTGTTGTCATGGCAAAGCCATGACAAGGGCCAAGGCCTCAGACCCATGGGAAATTGATAAAGCCTCTCCCCATGTAGATGAGACTTGAAATTGACAAAGTTTTTTTCAATACAAGTACATTTTTATAAATGATTGATCAAATGTTTATAAAAATGCTAGCAACTGCACTTCCTCCTGAATGTTTATAGCCTGAGACTGCTCTCCTGCAAGACCTCCTACCAAGACTAGCTAATTTCTTCCCCCTGTGCTATACATAATAAACATGCCAAGGTTCTGGGCTATAAAAGAAGTTGGTGCAAACATCCTACTTACACCCATCATTACCCGACCCTAGCTTTTTGGTAGGTGTGCCTATCATTTTTCATTCGCTCAGTGTCCTTAGTCAGAGTTGCAGAACCAAGCCATATGGGGCATATCACCCCTCAATAGTGCCTCCAACTAGGGATCAAGTATTCAAATGCCTCAGAGCATGAGGTCTTCTCATTCAACTCACACATGCTCACTAGAACAGTGACATAACCATCATGAGTATAAATAACTACTTTGTGTTTGTATTTATGGTCCACTCCATAAGATAAAGTTCATACCTGGCACTATTATCTAGCCAAGAACTTGTAACTAGACATGTCATATACCCTTGAAAGGACATATTACTAAACAAACTCCCATTGGCCTAATATACCCATAAATTAATAAATCTTACAACTTTAATCAAAGAAGTTCCTATTTGTAGTAAATCATAGACACACAATTGATCAAGGCTAGGCCCTAAATGGGATATATACATATATGCATATGTATACATATCTATGTGGATGTATATATAATATGTATGTCTATCACACCCACCTCCTCACAAGGCTTGGGGATTATAGTGGAAGAAGAAGTAGTTTAAGAGCCAGAGATGGTGGATGACAACAAGAAAACAATGCAGTGTTTTGCAGACACAGCAGGAAGTGGCACATATGAGCTCACAGTGATTGTGACAGCATACACAGGACCTGAGCAAGTGCAGCCACATTAAATCCCAACATGAAGAGAGGAGGTGAGCAAAAAGTCCCACCCCTAGGTGAGGAACTACTGTCAATGTATAGCAGCTGGGAAAGGGAGAAAGAGGACACAATGTTGAGTGTAGAGAAGTGGGGAGTGGATCTGAGAGAAGCTGGAGGAGGGGTGTCTACACTAGGTGCACACTGTACAAAATTCTCGAAGAACTCATTTTTTTAAAAAAATGAGAGAACAAATAAAGTTGTTAGGTGAAAAATAAGTTGTAGGAAACTAAATATATATATCCACCAAACCCAGACACTATTGCTGATGTCAAGAAGTGCTTGCTGACAGGAGCCTGATATGGATGTCTCCTGAGAGCTCAGCTAAAGCTTTACATATATATGGGGATGCTTGCAACCTACTATCAGACTGAGCAGGGGGATCCCAAAGGAAGAGTTAGAAGAAGGACTGAAGGAGCTGAAGGGGTTTGCATCACCATAGGAAAAACAATATCAACCAACCAGACCCCCCAGACGTCCCAGGGACTAAACCACCAACCAAAGAGTACACGTGGAGGGACTTGTGGCTCCAGCTGCTATGTAGCAGAGAATGGCCTTGTCTGACATCAAAGGGAGGGGAGGCCCTTGGTCTTGTGAAGACTTGATGCCCCAGTATAGGGGAATGCTAGGGTGGTAAGGCGGGAGTGGGGAGGTGGGTGGGGGAGCACCTTCATGGAGGCAAAGGAAAGGAGGGGTGGGCTGGGAGTTTTGGAGAAGAAACTAGGAAGGGGGATAACATTTGAAGTGTAAATATACAAAATAACCAATAAAAATTAAAAAAAAAACAAAAAAACCAACAACATAAAAGGTAAAAAATTATATGGTAGCAAGAAGCCAGCACATCATTCAGTATCTGCAGGACGCAGGTAATGGTAAACTATGCACAGACCTCTTCCTTCCTGTTGCAGCTGGGAGATAGACCTCTGTGGGACTGTGTAAGGGTATCTTGGTTCTTGGCTAGGCATGGGCCTGGAACCCCGAGACTCCAAGGGAGAAACGGCAGGTGTTCAGCCATGTCCCCAGAACCCAGGGTCCTGACACGCAGTCTAGTCTCCATAGACCTACATTGTTCAGTCATGTAGACCATTGCAGCCCCTCCCAAAGTGCACAGGTAGAGAGCGTGACTACAGGCCTAAAGTCTTAGAGAGATTTGCATACTAATGAAAGCCAGAGGGCAGAGCCAATTAATCATTCTTCACCAGACCCTCCCCCTTTCTCCCTCCATATGTAACTCAGGTCTTCCCTGAGTTTCAGGGGGGGTACATCCAGATCCATCTACCATCCACCATGATAATAAACCATTTTGGAACCAAGGACTTTCTCGTGTCATTGGGGCCTGCTGTCGCCAAAGCTTCCAGCCTCTGGAACCTTAGACTGTATGTGGGACCTGCTGGCATGGAAAGCCTCCGGGACTCTGCCGTGGCTTTTTTCCCACAGCCCTCCAGCTCCTTTGACCTTGCCACTTTTCAATGTTTATTGTCTTCTGGCTGTGCTCATGGCCTTTATTATTATTGTTGTTATTGTTGTTGATGATGATATAAATAAATGTTTTCCTATTTAAAAAAAGAAGCTAAACATTAAATAATACAAACTCACACAAAGACACACTTTACATATTTTATGTCTACATAAGTGAGCTAAAATTATGAAAGAAAAATTAAGATCCATTAATCTAATAGGTCTTGTCATCTCTCAAAGGCGAGAAAGATATGTAAAAATTCCCATACAGGAATTTTGCTTCATCACTGGTGTCTAATCAATGCTTGTGAAACATTGCTGGGATAAAAATAAATTTGTAGGTTCTCAGTGGTTAAAAGCACTTGTTGCTTTTTCAGAAGAGGACTTGAGTTCAAGAGGGCTCACAACCACCTGTTAATACAGCATCAAGGTATCTGACACCCTCTTCTGTCCTCCTCAAGTGTCTAAACTCAGGTTTCTTACACACACACCATAAACATAAATGAATAAAATTTAAAGCAATAGTAACAAAAATTCACCTAAAAAAACTCTGAATACAAAGTGTAGGTGTGAAAATTGTTCATTCTGATGACACCCTTATGGGTATAAGTGTATATTTGTTTGTGTATCTCTCTATGTATGTAATGGGACTCTTGTTTCCAGTTTGAACACATACAGAGTAGGAAATAATACATGTTGATCCCTGCCTGAACTTGGAAGCAATCATCTCAGAAGAAAGAAGCTACTGAACCAAACTCAGGGACACAACGCAGCTGAGATGGACACACAGGAGGAATAATTCACCCAGACATTATGAAAGAGGAAGAGAGGCAGGGACAACTCATACTGGCTACCTGGAAGGGGCTACACCTATGCCCCATAGAGTTTGTTAGGGGTGAGGGGTGGAGGCAGAAGGACAGAGAGACAGAGAGAAGGGAACTGGTAAGTTCATGTGTCTTTGAATCAGAGGGCACAAGCTGTAACTGTGGGTATGCATTACAGATGGGGAAAGTACCCACTGAAAGCTTGTGATGTCTGCACAGTAGCAGGTACAAAAACTTCTGGGGCAAAGACCTACACATTTCATGTCAGCCAGATGTGGATGACTTGAGTGACATTAAAGATACGACTTTCTAAAATCTGCCCAAGAGCAGTGTCTAGAAGGTATCATGTGACCACAGAGCACAACTAGACTAAAAGATGCTCAGTAGCAGAGGAAAGAATGAAAAGACATGGGTTAGCCATTCGGGGAAAGACCACTGAAGACCTCAGCGGGATAGTCAAAAGGTGCAGCATGGATGATCCATCCAGACAAACAGATACTGCCTGCCTCACATCAGCCTCTATTGCCCTAGACTGGCCCTGTGAGAATGAGAAGCTTCAGTTAGGATGAGAGGAGAGGGGAATAGCAGACAAAGAAAGGGAACAAGGGGCTATTCAAACAGTCCTTTCCCTCCAGGGTCCAGCCTGGAATTGGGAGCTTTATTTTTAGATAAAGTTTGGCTCTTTGTGTTCTCCATTGTATTAGACCATTCCCTATGAGACTGGAATTATTTGGAGTCTGACAACAGCCATCTTACTACCTGAGCATCAGCTCCTGTAAGTTGAGAGTCCAAGCAGATGTAAAGGGAAGGACAATGGACAGAGCTTCTGGTGAAGCAAAACTATTCTTCTCTCTAGGGAATATGAAACATGTTCACAATCAAGAGAATGTGTAGCATGGATCAGGTTTGTGTTTCACTGTCTATGTAAATGTTACCTAACATCCAGGCATGTCACTACTAAAGCTGTAACAGATACGGACAAGATTCCAGCTTATACCATCTCCAAGCTTGCATGCCAGCCTGCATCAGAATTCAGAAATAAACTGACAGACAACTTAAATCCAAACCAACACTGGCTGGCAAAAATCAAGTGGGTCAAACCTGAGCATTCTGCTGGAAAACCTAAAACCATTTGCTGACTCTTGTTCACACCTTAGAGAGACAGGTTGAACTGATGAGTCTACCACTCATGGAACTAAAGACAGAATTCAGGGCAACTTTTTCCTTTCTGGCTTCCAGTGATGCAATGCTTCAGTTCACTGACCTCTGGTTCATTCACTGACCCAGTGCAATAAATAAATGGAATGCTTACTTCTGTGGCTTTCTCCAGCATGACTGAAGGTTTGCTCTCACTAGCTGCTCTGTATCTGCTTAGACAGAAGAACTTACTCCTGGTCATGGATTCTCTTAAGTTTGTGAGGGAACTGGAGTTTGTCAGTTAGACAAAGAGGGTTGGGCAAGGCTGATGAAGGACAAGAGACATGACTACAGACAGCATGCAGGAGGCATGCTCCAGTGAGTCACAGAGTACAATATGATAAGATAAAAAAGCAAGAATGGCCTAGCTGGGAAGGAAGCAGAAGAGGATGGATGATAACAACTAAGGGGCTAACGCTGACAGAGTCAGCATATGCTTTGCCTACTCTAGCCACCCAGTCTGCTGGTATCAACTGTCTCTGAGCTGAAAGGGAAGTCCTCTCACAGGAACACAACAGCAAAAGAAAAGAGCACTCTGAACCACTGCACAAAGCCATATGGGGTTTTATTTGCTTTGGTCCCCCATTCTCCCATGAAAATACTATGTTTATTCTGTTTTCATTAATTTGATCTTTGAAGCCTGTTAAAAATATTCTTTAAAATATCAGGGATTTTTTTTGTTTTGTTTTGTTTTTGCCTCAGTCTGTTTGGTTAGTGTTGTTTCTTCAAATTAGTGTATCTCACAAAAGCAAGTTAAATGAATGAGTGATTTGTGCAATTTACCAGCATCAATAACCCTTAGAAATGCAAGCCCTGAGTTTACCATTGCTGTTCCTTTCTAGTTGCTTCCAACTCTATTCTCTCTCCTTTCCCCTTTTTCTTCCCTTTCCTATCCCCACCCACTCAACACTGGCTTTTGTCTCCCTCCTCCATGTCTGTCTCCCTCCCTCCCTCTTCTTCTAGAGTTCCTGAGGACCTCATTTGTTTTAGGAAAAGGCAGCATCCGTCTCACTTTTCAGAACCATCTCCCAAAAGAAACCCAGTCTTGTGCACCATCTATAATCTCAACAGGAAAAGGTCCGTTCCCACACCATCAAAACCAGAACAAGAACTTGAAAGCAAACCTGAGGAAGGCGGAGAGCTGGGTCCTGGCTGCGATCCTATCGGTTTCTCAGCTTTCTACAGCTGTCTAACCCTTAGGAGTAAATTATTACTCAGGGCCTTTGGCCTTTATCTTACCAAACAGAGTGTTTTATTGGTGCAACCATTTAATTTTTAACTTTGTTTTATTATTTAATTGATGACCTGACCAAGTCATTCAGTCTTCCTCATACTTTAAGTTCATCTAAAGTGACATCCATCTTCCCTGATTCTCTGTGGGTCTCAATATCCCTCCTGCCTCATCTTTAAAGTTTACATTTTCCATGATTATGTATGTGTTGAGTGTGTGTGGGTAAGTATTCTCTTGTTGAGGTCAAAGAACAACTTTCAAGAGTGGGTTCTTTCCTGCCACCATGTTGACCTCAAGGATACAATTCAAGTTATTGAGCACATTAGCACATATTTTTCCCTGTCACGTTATCAGGTCAACCCTCTGAGCAGCTCACTGATGGCATCATCACCGCCTACGGTCTCAGTGGTATTATAGTCTTCACGGATAGGGTTACATCTTGTCTCTTATGTGGCCCTTTTCCACCATATCCATGTTTAATAGAACCAATTTTACACAGAGGGTGGCTATAGACATACTGACCTCATAGAAAACAGATACTTATAGCTTAACATATTCTTGGATCAGAGGCTTACTGCTCTGGGATTAATCTAGTGGTCTCAGCATTTGACAGCTATTACAGTCCCCAGCTTTCAACAGCAGTGAACACGACAGAGCCAGCAACATCTTCTAATGTTACAACTCTTGTACAGGCATCAGATCCTCAGGACTTATGATGATAGATGTTGTGCCATTCAGGATTCTGAGCCGCTGACTGACTCTTTTACAGTTAATAGACCTGCGGTATCTGGGACCCTTTGGTAGGTCTCTGGAACTCTTCCAATGACTTCTTGATTTCCCTATCTTCAGCTCTTCATAGCTTTTATATTCTCTACCCTATCATCACTGCTGCCTTTGCCGCCTCCACTGTAACCAGTGTTGCTGATTGATCCACAATTGCAACTGTCATCCTCAAGTCCCCTGCCCTCTCACCCTTTCTGTTACTAATTCATCCTGCTCTAAAATGATAACGATCAAGCACAGGTGAGAATAGATCACCTGAGAGAAGTCCTACCTTAGGCTGGGGCCTCAAGTTGCTACATCAGGATCTTGTTTCCCAGCAGAGCGACAAAGTGAAGCAAACAGCCTGTTAATGTAGGGAACAAGGTACGGCAAGGAGTCTGTCCTGTCTGCCCTCCAAACAATGCTTCTTCCAAATGAACCACTCTTGCATCCTCTTGTGGGGCCTCTGCAAGTAGAGGAGTGTAGGAGCCAACCATAGATCTCTTTGTGGTCAGCAGGGGAAGGACTCGCCCTCTAGCTAGTGAGAGGCTTCTGAAACAATCTGGGAAATGTTAGGGTTGTGTCTGAGCAGCTGGCAGCTGTGGCTGATGTTTTTCTTAAGTGTTTTTGAGGATATTCAAAGTAGCAGAGCTGGCATCCAGGGAGGGTTGCTGGATGTGGGGTGAACAGTCCTTCTACCATGGCAACAAGAAGAATCTAAAAACTATCCATTAGGAAATCAAGTGGGCCGTAATACCTTAGCTTATTTAAGAGAAAAAAATGAACACTATATGAAGTACTTATAATAAAAACATACTGTTAACATTAACATGAATTTAATCATGCAATAACAAGGCTTGACTCCTGCCCCAGTAACCCAGGAAGGGGTGGGTCCTTCAGATCAGTCTCACAAGAAGCAAAGAGCAACCGTATTATGCTGGGGAGAGGAAAGAGTGAGGGGGAACTGAGAAGCAGCCAGTATTGTGATGAATAATCCGAGCACCCAGGATTTAGAAGCAGGAAGATTGTGGGTTAGAAGTCAGCCTTAGCTATATAATGAGTTCAAATCCAGCCTAGACCACATAGTGAGAAACTAAATCAAATAAGAGCTGGGATGTGGCTTAGTAGTAGAACATTTGCTTAGCATGTGCAAAGTCCTGGGCTTAACTCCCAGACAGAAGGAGGGAAGGATGGAAGGACAGAGGAAGAGATAGAGAGAGAAGGGAAGAAGGTTTACTAATAAGCAAAAAAGAATTCTCATAGGATTAGAAATAATGTCTGCCTATACTACAGAAAATCAGAACATGTGATTATAATGACTAATAAAATAAAAAATATGTTCCGAGTTTAAAATTAAAAAAAAAAAAAAAGCCCAGTGGTAGTGGCACATGCCTTTAATCCCAGCACCATAGAGGCAGAGACAGGTGGATTTCTGTGAGTTTAAGGCCAGGCCAGCCTACAGAAGGAGTTCCGGTACTAAACAGAGAAACTTCATCTCAAACAAACAAAAACATAAGTGAGTATTGTAACCTACAACATGGAACTGATTTCTTGAATGAAAGGATCTAAGGGGGTAGAGAATATATAGTAATAGCCCTATAGATATTTGGGTAAAGAAAATGAAAAAATACAAAGCTTATAAATAGATTTTATTCATAGAAGATGGCAATAAGAGAAAATTTAAAACTGTGAGGCAGTTTGTAGCACTAAAATTGTAAATGTTCAAAAATTTGATAAACTAGAATTAAAATTAGGGAAATACTGTCTCGGATGCATGGTTGACGGGTGATATTATCAGAATGGCTCTATCACTCAAAGTTTATGTTGAAACCTTAACTTTCCACATGATGGTGTTTGGAGGTGGAGTCTGTCAAATATAATTAGGTTTGGATAAGGGAACAAGAGTGACTTCACCCCCGGCAGTATTAGTGTCTGAGAAGAGGAAGAGCCAAGATTCACTCTCTCCATCTCGAGTCTCCAGCTCCCTTTCTTTCTATCACGTCTCTGTGTCAAATGAGGACACAGAACACAGGAAGAAGACACTCACCAAACACTGAACCAGCCAGACTTTGACCCTGGAATTCACAGCCTCTAGGTCTATGAGAGTTTAATTTCCCACTGTTTGAATCACCCAGTCCATGATGTTTTATCCTAACAGCCTGAGGTGACTAATCTAAGGAATTTGCAAATTGTCATGGTTTCTATAAAAACAGAAACTCTGAGACGTTCACTACTACTTAAAATCCAAAATACTTTGACACAGTCAGACATGTGGTCATTCAACCCATGGTCAAAACTTAGATTCTCTATTTTTTTGTAACCTTTAAAAGTGTGTGTGTGTGTGTGTGTGTGTGTGTGTGTGTGTGTGTACACAATTCTGTGGGTTCACTCAGAGGCCCCCTATCCTGGGACATAGATTAAGCTAGAATGACTGGCCAAAGACTCTCAAGGACCTCCCGTCGCTGCCTTCACAGACGTACGGTTACAAGCATGCCAGCCTCCTCTTTATAACCACAGTACCCAGCGTTTCTCTGTTGGTGATACTTTTGGAAATTTGTTTTGAATGGTCTTTGTTTTCAGTATCAAAGGTTCATTCCAAGTACTGTCAACTTCAAGGTGGTGATAAGTTATCTCTTTATTAGCAGTCTATTGATGGTGAATCAATCAACTGCTGTATTGACTCTATTTTTCATGTTGTGACTCAAAGAAGCTGCAGTCACTATTACAAAGCAATCTTGAAAGTGATGTATCATCACTTCTTTGCTTCTGCATGCTCTATTCCCAGGGACACACAGCCAAACCCTAGCCTGGGAAGGAGCAACATAAGATGCAAGAGACATGTGGTGCTGCCTTGGAAACTAGGTACATCACAAGATGGGTATGCAGCTCAGTCATCCAAAAGGATCACAATGATTGAGGTTTTACTGTGTTAGATTCTGTGCTTAGAAGTTATCCCTCAAGACATATGTTGATGATAGAAATGTTTGTAGAGGCAAAGCGATGATTCAAGTGAAAATTAAACTATTCATTGCTGAACTCAGTCTTGGAACTATTTGAGGATGTATCTTTTCAACAGTTTTAGAATTTGTATCAGGATCTCCAACCTACTAAGATTTTTAACTTTGTACAAGCTATATCTAGCTTCTTGCTCCATTCCTTCCTCCTTTCTTTCCTATTTTTCCTTCTTCCTTCTTCCCTTTCCTCTTTCCTCCCTTTCTTCCTTCTTCTCTCCTTCTGTTTTGGCCTTTCTTTTCCTTCTTTTCTTTCTTCTTTCCTTCCTCCCTTCCTTTCTCCCACAGAGTCTTGCTATATAGTCCAGACTGGCCTCACACTGATACTTTCCCTGACTCAGACTTTTAAGTGCTGAGGTTAAAGGCATGCACAACCACACCCAGCCATAGCTAACATCTCAGTCCATATTTAGTATCTGTTCTTACGAATACAATGTTTTATTGATCTCATCGTGTTTACTGAGTCACTTTTATGGGTGTCCTTTTGTGGGGATCAAGAATATTTTGCATTCCAGAGAACAGTCCTGTGAGGCAGTTACCTGGTGCTCAGGCTTCAAATAAGCTGATTAGATCATCGGAGATGTCAGTGTAGAGCACTAAGCTTCTAAACTGAGAGCTGCCATTAACTGCTGTTCCCTAGAGTGCACGCTCCAGTTGCAAATGCAGTTAATTCTGTAAGACACAGAACATCTTTGCTGAATTTACATACAGATATATAGTAAATGTTCAGATTCACCAGGGTGATTCCAGTTGGGTTTTTTGTTAGAGCTGCAAAGCTTGTCCATGAGTGATAGTCTCTTCTCTGCTTGAGGCAAGTACAGTTCTGCTTCTAAGTGTATCTGTAAAGTTTTCTGAAGCAGTCTTGTGCAGTGGTACTTTCTCTTGTGTGTTTCTAAGGATATGATAACTGGACATTATAGGCTGAATATGGGAAAAGGTTTTTTTTTTAATTAAGGAGGAAAGGCAGAAACCTGGCTCAATGGGTAAAACCTCTTGCTGTGCAAGTCTGAGAAGCCAAGTTCCATCTTGGGAACCCATGGTGGACAGAGGAAACTCACTCCCAAAAGGTGGCTCCTGACCACCTCATGAATGAGCACACACATCTTTTACACGCGCGCGCGCGCGCACACACACACACACTTTTTACACACACACCAGAGAGACAGAGAACTCACAAAACAGTGTTATTATTATTATTATTATTATTATT